GAAAACATACACTAAGAGTACTTGGGCCACACTGAATCTGTTTCTGAATATCAACTAATCTACAATTCAGCAATGAGTAGAGAGACACATAGTTTTCTAGACATCTTGACGTTTTTCATGGAAGGGTGCTGTCGAGAGAAAGACAGAAGAAATCAGGCAGAGGGGAGTAGAGGGTCAGCAACTTCTCTGATCTGTGCGATCTGAACGCAAGAAAATTTGCGTAGCTGTTCTCAAGTGAAGTTGAAAGGAGTATACTGACTGTGTTTGTTTTGTGTGTGTGCATTAAAGCTATTATGTATCTCAGAATGAAAAACTCTATAAGCTTGGCTCTGCTTTCAACCAAGACAGAAAAGATCAGAAAAGCAAAAATTGCAGCACGTCGATGTAGTGAGAGTTCACACGAATTTTGTCTGTTCTATGTCAGCTCTGTGCACTGCCTGACTGTCTGAGGCAAGTTCGTCTTGTCTGCAACAAGGCGTACAAATTCAAAGCCAGCGCCCAGCAACTCATCAGGCAACCTAGAGAACAACTCTGCACTCATGGATTTCTATTCCTTGAACAATTCGATTTCCACCCGATTCCACAAATCATATCTCCAAAGCCGTTGGCCTCATTGTCTCTACCTGTCAAGTGCTCGCACAACGTAACGTCGGATGACACCGATGGACACAAACACTCGAAAATAACTTGGGTAAAATCATTTGGGTGCTTCCGTTTACCAAGTCCTTCGTTTCAGAGCCTTGGTGAATCCAATTGCTTCTGCTGCTGGGATTGGGACTACTTCGACCTGCGACCCAGAACATGCACAAAACGCAGCAAGAACGCAAGTCACGCGAACCCAAGCACCTCCGGCTCGGCTTGGGCAAGGCTTGCCTCTTTGCTCTTCTTCTCCGCAGGTGCATCTTTGCTAGGAGCATTCGATGCTTTTGGCTCTGGTGGTGTGGGCACCTTTTCAGATGGACCTGTCGGTGCAGTAGTTGATGGTTCTGAGGCCGGTGCTTGGGCTGACGGTGACTTTTCCTTGGAAGGTTTTGCAGGAAGTGGTTGTGCTGAAGGCAACTTTCCCGTGGATGCTTGTGCTGGGGGTGGTTGTGCTGAAGGCAGCTTCACCTTGGAAGCTTTTTTTGCTGGGGGTGGCTGTGCTGAAGGCAACTTCACCTTCGAAGATTGTGCAGGAAGTGGCTGCGCTGAAGGCAACTTCACCTTGGAGCAGAAGACTGTATGAAATTGCAGCAAGTAGGAAGTGAATGCACTCAATGTAGTAGTTTTTTGCGCGCCTCAATCGGTTCAACAATAGGTTTTCCAAGCCATCTGCCGGCAATGCCCTGCACGATCATGTTCGGTTTTTCACCGTGTACTCAAGGTTGTGCAATTGGTTGGTCCAACATGTTTGAGACCCCGCCGCAACAGCCTGTGGCAGCGTGGTTTCTAGTCAGCACTCCTATGACCTTGCTGAATCACAAGGATTGATAAACCTGACGCTTCTTCATTTGCTGTTTGCGTGCCCAAGAAATCATTCTTACATAGAGACGAGTGTCAATGTGACCCAGCTATTGTAAATTGTAGACGTCCAAACTTGTCTACACATCTCGATGCAAAGCTTTCGGATCTGACAAAGTTCAAAGGTAGAGATGAGCAAGGCATGCCCGGAAATGAGGCACAAAAACTGGACTCCTGAAGGGTGCATCAGCTGGGTGGCAAGGTTGGTCGCCAAGGTATTCAAAAACAACTGTTCCCATCTTCGCAAGGTTGGAGAACGAAAGGTGGGCCAGGGCTGTTGGAGTGGCAGTAGAAGAATCTGGTCGAAGGATTCGTCCTGAAGAAATTCATCTTTTCGGAGGTGATCAAAGCTGGCGTGCGGGGAAGGCCCTCGAAAATGCGCAACAAAACATGCAGCAGTCGAAGCCATTGGCACCATTTCTAAGCACGAAAGAAGCAAACTGTCCCAAGTAGCTGCGAACGCAGGAGTGGTGCGAACGCTAGCCGTCTCCAGACATACTTGGCTCCGCCGAAGGGAAAGAGAGGCAAAGGATGGCGGGAAAGGGTGTGACAGGATATCTTCTGGGCGCAGTCAGAGGCGAAGAGAAGATGAGAAGGGGGTACAAGAAAGCTCGATAACGTGGAAAAGGGAATGACACTAAAAAATGTGGTCACTAGGAACAAGAAGCTACCAGGAGCAAAGGGCATCGCACTAGGAGCAAGCGCTACTAGGGGCTGCTGGCCTTACTACTAGGAACAAGAACGCTACTAATTACTAGTATCATGCTCTTCACGACTCACTTTCGGTGTCGGAAGGGGTAGCAGAAGTCTCAAGGGTGGTGGCGTGGCTGACTCCATGCAGCTCATCATGCCGCGCATGAAAGACAGCAAATTACCGTATCATAACATACCGTTTCTAAATGGTTGGACCTTGCTGATGCAAGGGATACCACCACAATTACGACTTGCATTTTCTGCATCACCACCTCCCCAAAAAACATTCTTTCGCTGACACCCAAAACATTGATTTCAGGACCTTTTGCATCGGGACCCAACAGATTCTGCACGGTAGAAGAATGTACCAATCCACATCATCGATTTCCAGCCTGGTCAAAAATCCATCCTCCCTTCACTTTGAGGTAGCCTCTCCAAGTCGAGTCAAAAAAGAGCAAATACCATCAAATACCTATTGGCTGCCAGCCTGGGCTATCAGGGCTTTCAGGTTGAATCGCCTAGCACGACAGAGTCGTTGATAGCGCATACTTCCTCGCAGTGTTTTGGGTGTCCGATTGCTTTCGGGGCGCCCCATATGCGATGATGCATTTGATAAGAGCTGTCCGATCATCGATCTACTTTAATCTAGTGTTCGACGAGCAAACCATGATGGACCAGCCCAAGGGATAGCCATTTTGAATTGAAGGTGTTGATACCAAGAGCGGGAGTGGGAGTGCCAGGACTGCCAAGACCAGGGTGGCCCTGAATGGCATCGACCTGCAGGACACCGCTTTACGAGTTCTTCAGCAAGATTTTCGAATTCATGCTTTGGCTTTGGCTATGGACACCTGCCACAAACGCGAACATTTGAAGCAAGCTCTTTCTTAAGCCTCTCGGTTACAGCTTAGACTTTTCTCGAGCCGCGTGAACTGTTTGTTGCATGAAAGATTTTATTGGAGCGAAGTTCCTGGCTCTTGCCATGAGTCCTGGGGGTTTGCAAGTCTTTATGGCTGAGCTTACTTGAGAACAAATCGCGCACAAACCCAAATCCAAAGCAACAGGAACGCATTTCAAAGTGTCAGAGCAACAAAGCCACATCAAAGTGACACAAACAGCACATGCGCGTTGCCGAAGCGATTGTCGCAGTAAACCCGATATCCAAAACACAATACAATGTTTGCTCTATGCCTCAGTAAGCTGTTGATCTCAAGCACTCTATATATATATAATATATATAGTTTGGAAAAATAAATACCTGCTTGGAAAAAAAAACAGCCTCGGAAGCTTCGAACTCTTCTCCAGCTATGATGCTCGCTCCTGCAAACAATCCTGCTGATGCGCGTCAGTCCCATTATCTTGGTAAGTGTCCTGTTGGCTCAGACGCCACATCTGGCTCCTGAACAAAGCACAAAGTGATTTGGCCACATCCAGCTCTTCACCCCTCTAAGTTGATCTGCAGTCCTTGCGAAGGCGGATTTTTGTCAGAGAGCGGTACCTCCAATGTATAGCACAGTCGGCAAAGCATGGCAGAGTGTTGGAAAGTGTTGCAGACTTGCATGAAATAAAGTAAGGGATATTGATGAAATATCTTGAAGATCCTACGCTTGAGACTTAATCATCTTGCCACCTCAGCCTGAGGGCAGCACTTTCCAGGGCCCAGCGCAGATAAAGCTGCAGGGGAGAACAAAAAATGCGAAAAACATGTTGCACTTTTTCGGGAACAAACTAGCTAAAGTAGAAAAGACAAAGAAATATAACTCATCCCTGGCTGCCGCACCTGCGGTTACTCTAATTGACCTCAGAAGGCACTCCACAACTGCGTTGGTTCAAGCACAGGAGCAATGCCAGCACTGCTAGTTGCTTGAGCTTTGCACCTTTGGCCTTGCATGTGGGATTGCAACCATGCAGTGCAGCATGCAGTGCAAAGATGACAACAGGTTATACAGGCTGCGTAGGATTCATCGGTTGACGCTCACAACAGGCACGTTGTTCACATGCCATGCATGCATGCATGCTCACTTGATGCAGCTTGGTCAATGATGTCAGCTTCAGGCCTTGAAACCCAAAGGCTCGAGCTCCTTGAGCTCCAATCAAATAGATGACCTGGTCAGCAACTTGTCAGGATTCAAAGCTTTGACGCTATGTCCTGCTCGTAAGGCATTGGCTCCAATCAATGCCAAATGGGCGAGCAACTTGGCATGCAAACCGCACGAAAGAGAAAAGTCTGCTTGTATAAATGCCATCTGAGACTGTCACCTTCTTGCGATGCTTTGCGCAAGGAGCCTGATTGCTTAAACGTGGTCTTGGTTAAACGGCTCTGCAATCTAAACACATTGCTTTCAGTGGTGGAAATCTTTACCAATTTCGGTGTGTGCAAGAAAGCAACTCTCCCAGGTTCTGCCGGATGCAAGCGGCTTGTCATGGCTTCATGAATCATGTTAGCTGTGTTAAAACCAACATCAATTTAAACCTACAGGAAGCATCGCTGGCCTTGACGTGGCCTGAATTTTGCTGCTCTCACATCGAGAATTAGATCTCAACTGAACAAAAATCCAACCCAACACGTCCAACATTAGATTCGCAACTTCGGGTTGCAGTCTGATCATGTTCCCTGCTTGATCGAACCCACGCATTACATGCAGCTGCACATCTACATCACTTGCATCTTCTTTTCTTTTCAATGGACAAACTCTCTTGTAAAGGCTACAAGCAAGTGTTGGTGAAGATGACATGCAAAGACCCTAGGTTGAGGCTCAAGACTGCCGCAGCTATGTGAGCGATTCAATCAATCATGCTGTGAATCATGGCTACCCTGTTCCCGAGCAGAAAGAATTGTTGAAAGTTGGAAGACACCAACCATCAAGTTGATGCACCACGGTTGAAAGACGCAAGTTGCCACCTCTGATACCAAACCATCCTTTTGACTGCGACTCCTCAGAAGCGCTTGAATTGCGTCTCTCCAACTGGTCGCCCTCGCCTTGGGCGGAGGAGCCAGCTGGAATCTCGAACGTTAACTCCACAACACCATCAATCCTGCATCGCAGCATATCGCGGCACAAATTGCAAACCCCCACCACAGTTGAAAGCTATAGCTACTATAGCTATCTGTTGCAGTTGCTCCGCAGGCGAAGGGACACATGAAGCTGATAATATGGTTGGAGACAAATAAAGGAGGCCAACAAATTACAAACCTCTTCTCTTCTCACTTGCAGAAACAAAGCTCTAAAGCGGCCATCAAATAAGCTTCCCAAGTGAAGCAGGTCACCATCGGTCCTTGATCGCTCCCCTGTCAAGCACTGATAGCCAGAACCTCGCCTGCGATGTTTAATGGAAAGCATTTATAGTAAAGTTTCAAGGTCACGTCTCAGCTAAATGGAAGCCTGTTATTGTCCAATACCCAATCTGTGGATGCTCCAGGAACTTCATCAGCCTGGCAAACATGTCACCAAAAGGACGTGATGTCTTGGACTGCCTTCTATGTCATAAGTTGGCCATGCTTATCACCACTATCAAACTGTTGACTCAAAGCTTGCCCCAGTACCAGCAAACCCAAACACTAAGGCCCTGCATTCTTGAACACTGGTTCTCAATCATGCACATTGAAAGGGAAGAATCAGAGTGAATTGGCACTCCACACTTTGGCCATCGAGCCTCTTTCTGGTCACCATCTTTAGAACTTGTAGCCTCCTGGACATGTCCGTCGTGGGTTGACAAAGGAGGACACACTCTCACACAAGATTAAATGTCTGTCTCCCCTGGGCACAGTGAAAAAGCACAGCACGTATTTTCCCGGCAAGAGACGGAGGACTCCAAATTGCTTGCACCAGACATGGCCTGTAGAAAGAAAGGATGGACGTGAAGGAGTGACAGTGTGGATGTGCAGGTGTCATACAGATGTATAGATGTATGGAGGTGGAGAGGTAGATCTGTGGATGCGAGCGTGCGAAGATGTAAATGGACAGAGGCGGGAGAAAAGATATGTCTTAGGTTCGTAAGAAGTCAGTCGCACTTCAAACGGCTCAAAACAAGTCAGTCTCATTTCAAGACAAAAACGAAGTAAGCCGTAAGCAGGTCGAAGCGCACACAAAATGGATTTGTGTGCGCTTCAACCTGGTCCCCAAAACAAGCGGCGAGCAGATATCCTGCGAGCAGAGGCTCAAAGCAAATCAGTCTGACTTTAAGTATCAGACACACAGAAAGTACGCAGTAAGTGCTTCAAGTCATCAGCTACACTTTTGCGGACAGGCCCTTCAAACCACCAACACTGCGACCTGAGAGCAAACGACATTACGATCAGGACAAGTGACTCGTGCGTTCCAACTGCGCATCGTTTGTCATGCAGGTGAAGTAGATACATATCAACGTCACGACCCTTTTTGCGGCAGCCGCGGATCCCGTCGTTTAAGCGATGATGGCGTAGTTTCGTCCCGAACAGTCTCGGCGGACGACCCGCGACACGAATTAGTCTCGGTGTGTTGCGCTGAAGTCTCTCTGCCATTCCGCGCGCAAACCTTCTAGGCGCCACAACGCTTCCAAGACATAGGGTCGATTGCGCCAAGGACGCAACGCTGGTCCTTTTTGAAGCAGCAACTGCACGGCTTCCAATGCGGAGTGCTCGTAAGCGACAACGAGCCAAGCGCGTAAAATCCCCGCGCTCCGGTTGATGCCACCAAAGCAGTGAAAGAGCACGTGCATGGATTTGTCCCCGGCGACCGCCAGCATGGACTGTTCCCACAACTGGTCGCAGACGATTTTCCACTGTCGCAAACAGGAAGAATCTGCTCAAGCCAACGCCTTGCCGGCTTCAATGTCGTGTCCCCCAAGTGACACTGGACGCGAAAGACATCTTGTTGTTGAAAGTATTTGGTCCAGTCGGTCGGTGCGCCTGCGATCTTCATCTCCTGCGCGCACATGGTGACCACCACAGTGACCTTCAAAGACGTGGTCTCCACAATGTCTTCCAAGCTACACGCAGCTTTCAAACTTCCAAGCAACAGCGCTGCTCGATCCGTAGGCCTGTAAATGACAGCAGCATCCAAAGGCCACGCTTCTATGGACTTAAAGCTGTAGTCGTGTTGGTCTGTGACATAATCCAAATTCTGTATGGCCTTGCAGCACTGACTCCAAGGAAGGCTCCAACCACAACGGCGACGTCATCGCGTCGCTCGACGCAGCTCCAGGCTCAAACTCTTCAATTGCTCCACAGAACACCGTGAAAGAACCCCTCAAACATGCGAGACAGGTGATTTTCGAGCAATTCCGAGTAAGCCGATAGTTCAAATGACGTCCCAGAGCCATGACCTCTGGATGCAATTTAAACTATTCAGAGAAAAGATGTGTACGAAGAAAGAAGGAGAGGGCGGATGTGAAGGAGTGACTATGTGGACGCGCAGGTGTGATATAGCTTCGCCGATGTGTGGGTGTGTGGGGGTAGAGAGGTAGATTCCTACGAGACTTCCTCCAAAGGTGAAGCGCCAAGACTCCAAAACGCGCGTTGCGTACGAGACTTCCTCCAAAAGTGGAGCGCGACCAATCCAAAACGCACTCTCACCTGTATTTCCCGCGCTCGACACGCACGATCTCCGCAGAGGGTTGCCCCGGACGGGGCCAAAACGCACTCTCGCCTGCACTTCGCGCCCTCGACACGCACGATCTCCGCAGAGGGTTGCCCCGGACCGCAGAGGGTTGCCCCGGACCGGGTCAAGTCGCACTCTCGCCTGCACTTCGCGCACTCGACACGCGCGATCCCCGCAGAGGGTTGTCCCGCGACCGGGACAAGTCGCACTCTCGCCTGCACTTCGCGTCCCTCGACATGCACGATCTCCGCAGAGGGTTGCGCCGGACAAGTCCAAATCGCAGTCTCGCCTGCATTTCGCGCACTCGACACGCACGATCTCCGCGCCCGCGACAAACCCAAATCGCACTCTCGCCTGCACTTCGCGCACTCGACATGCACGATCTCCGCGCCCGCGACAAACCCAATCGCACTTCTTGGGAGGCCTGCAGTTATCTATGTCCATTTTTCAGAGGCCAGAAAGCTGGCTATATCCGCTTCTGGGAGGCCTGCAGTTATCTATGTCCACTTCTTAGGCCAGAGAGCTGTCTATATCCGCTTCTGGGAGGCCTGCAGTTATCTATGTCCACTTCTTAGAGGCCAGTGAGCTGGCGATATCCGCTTCTGGGACTTCTTAGAGGCAGCTGGCGATAGCCTGCGGTTATCTATGTCCACTTCTTAGGGGCCAGTGAGCTGGCTATTTCCGCTTCTGGGAGGCCTCCGGTTATCTATGTCCACTTCTTAGAGGCCAGTGAGCTGGCTATATCCGCTTCTGGGAGGCCTGCAATTATCTATGTCCATTTTTCAGGGCCAGAGAGCCGGCTATGGGCTTGTGGGAGGCCTGCAGTTATCTATGTCCACTTCTTAGAGCCTGCAGTTATCTATGTCCATTTTTCAGGGGCCAGAAAGCTGCCCATATCCGCTTCTGGGAGGCCTGCAGTTATCTATGTCCACTCTCGCCTGCATTTCGCGCACTCGACATGCACGATTCTCCGCAGAGGGTTGCGCCGGACCGGGACAAATCGCACTCTCGCCTGCATTTCGCGCGCTCGACACGCACGATCTCCGCAGAGGGTTGCGACGGACAGGGGCAAATCGCACTCTCGCCTGCATTTCGTGCGCTCGACACGCACGATCTCCGCAGAGGGTTGCGTTTCGTGGTGCTCCGGCGGCACTGCCCCCGGCCTTAAGAGAGAAAGTTAAGAAGAGCGAGAGGTGAAGATGTGAGCTGTAGATGTGAGGATGTGAAGATGAGCAGAGATGTAGATGTGTGAAGATGAAGATGAGCGGACACGTAGATGCGAGGATGTGAAGATGAGCAGAGATGTAGATATGCCAAGATGAAGATGAGCGGAGATGTAGATGCGAGGATGTCAAGATGAGCAGAGATGTAGATGCGCAGATGTGAACATGAGCAGAGATATAGGTGAGAATGTGATTGTGCAGAGGTGAAGATGTGAAGATGTAGAGGAGGTGTAGTTCTGCAGAGGTTTTTTTTACGAAGAACCCTTCGCAGGCGCTCTCGAGAAAAAATGTGTGCACCTTCAGGCAAATGGGGAAACTATATAACTTTGTATCGCCAGGATCAATCGCCGGTCGCCCGTTGGGAGCACGTTGTTCAGAACCCAGCTGGCACAAGACAGCAAAAATTGCAGAACAGTGCCCAAAGCCACTCCTGCTTTCTTTTTGCCATGGGACTTGTATCATCGCAGCTGGTTGTTGAGGAGTCCTGAATCTGTAATCAGCAGTAGCTGCGTTCCAGCAACGTCAAGCATGTGTCCTCGTCCTCATCAACGATATTTTGAGCATCTGGTTGCTCACCAGAACTTGCTGCAGAAGTCTCCTCCCAAGAAGTTATAGCCTCCAACATAATAGCAATGGCCTCCAACCTAATAGCGATGGCCTCCCAAGATGTAGTGTATTTTGGCCTAGTTGGCCCGGAATGGCGTCTCCAGCTCAACCAGTGTGCAATCCCTTCCGCTCCGACTCTTCAAGAGATTGCGTCGCTGACAATGCTTTGCGCAATGTCAGTTGGGGTACCTGGCTCAGGCGTGCAAGCCTACTTTGACAGAGCCCGAATTCACCACTGACCAACTCTGAATGAACAGCTTGCTAGTGGCACCGATCTTGCCGCACCAATGCTGCTGCTTGCCTCCTAGTAAACTGCATTGGATTGAACGACTTTCAAATTTCAACTCCTTCGTTTGAAAGACTACCACAGTCCTCAGGTTGGATCACCGGCGAAGAGCGAATCCTGAGCAAATCACATCAAGCAGGGTGCTTCGAACCAGAAGCAAGTATTCTTCGCCCACTCGCAGCCGTTTGTCCTTCGAAGGCGTCTGATTGGGCGCTTCCTGCGAGCATAGCGTGGAACGACTTCCTTCAATCCAAACATGGAAGGCTGCCGACTCCGCTCCTCATAGCAGCTTGCTCCTGCTGTGTTTGTTTCACCCAACTGTACTATCACTGTCCACCCAGTTCACCCCAGATTCCCTTTCATGTGTTTACACAGGCTGGCCTGTAAGAAAGCCCAGGTCGTGCTGCTATGTACATTGAAAGAATAGTTGCATACCTTTTCATTGTGTATCTGTCGCTTTCTCACATGACAAATCATGCTCTATATAAAAGAACATGATTGCAAATGCCCGTTTCTGTGACTTTAGCCAGCAGGAATGCGCGCCGCAGTCCTTTTCTTGGATCGATCTCCTTGCAGCAAGCACATCCTGCAGAGCAGTGAGACAGCGTTGCAAGGGCAATTGCAAAACACTCAGCGTTGTCGATGTCCTGCAGAAAAGCATGCCATATCCCAAACAACCTGCATCAAAGCGTCTCTGCAACCGACTGAGGCTCGCTTTGTTTCAGGATAGTCTCAGATTGCATTGAACAGCCTTGGTAAGGAGACAAATCTACCTACCTCTGCTGGGGCCCTTACATGCGATGTTTGTGGTATTGCAAGTTTGATTGTGGTCCTCTCCTTTGCTGTTTGAGATCCGTGCAGTTTGTGGCACAGGAAATTTCGGACTGCCAAGCTGTGTTTCACAGAGACTAGTCCATGCGATTCTGGTGTCACTCCCCTTGGTAAATGACTGGTTCTGATGCCTGCATTAGACTCTGAGATTGATCATAGAACATTTTCCCTTCATATATATATATATATATGTTCGACTTTTTCCCTCTCTCACCCTAGGCCCTAGACCAAAGATTGCAAAGGTGTTTGCTGTTTGCTCTCTTCCGATCCAGATGAAAACGTGAACTGCGCCATGGACACAAAACCCCAGGTTGGACCACACACTGCTTCGCACATCCGAAAGCAGTTCCGATGACGGTTTTCCGCTTCTTGACAGCTGCTGCAGGCATTGCATTCGTATTTGTGCGTCTTGCAGGCATTGCATTCTTGCATGAAAGTTCGAACGACATGTCCAAAGGCTGGTGCCAAACAAACAAGGTGCTTCCAACAGCTTTGCATCAATTGTAGTCATCCATGCAGCAATCTAGACTCCTTAAAACCAAGCTTGGGATTTCCAGGGTTTCTCAACAAGCAAGTTTCAAGTCCGGCACTCATCGCTCGGTTTCTTGTGGTCAGCATCGATGTGCAACCTACAGCCAGGCTGAAAGACACCACACGTGCCACTTCTCTTGCTGGGCTCCCCGCCAAAGCAGGATATTTTCGTATTGGATGCTTACCTGTCCTGGAGCAAAGAAGGACTCATGAGAGCAGCACTTCTCGACTCAACTTAAGAAGGACTCCCGAGATGAAAGTCACATCAAGCTTTGCATAAGACAAGGACTTTCAGTACAAAAGAATAGCGTCCTTGTCTGCTTTGCAGACCTTCTAGATCAGCTATGCACATGGCCAGGTGTTCACTGAAGTGAACCAGTATAGCCTCCAAAGGTTGCTGAACACTCTGCAAGCTTTGCGTAGTCTTCTGAAACAAAAAAAGAAATTCTATCTCGTAGTCGTATTCTCGCTTTACAACGAAGTACCGTGCCTGCGATGAGTCGCTCTCAAAGTCTGGATCGTCTTCGAGCCTCGTTTGTCATTTTGGACAGGAACGGACGGCACGTTTTGAGCCAACAAATTGATGGTAAATAGAGGTACAGTACTTCTTCATAGGTCTTCATGGCTGGTAAATGACCCGGGACAGTTTTGAGCAAAAAGTCCAGTCCAACATCTCGGCACCCTTTCTTTACACAGGGCCTACTCCTCTTGAGCTCTTGCCAGTCAGAAGGAGCATACAGAGCATTGCAGCACAATGCATGCAAATGCGATGGATGCTCTCTTAGGTCTTTCATGTTTCTACTGGTTTAAAACCTGAGTTGATCTTCGAATTTGCATCGGAGTCCAACACCATGATCCACCCATCGTGAGCAACATGCCATAGGTCGTCTCACGCAGCTAGATAATGCAAGAAAATCGACTCAATTGCCCGTGAAGTGCAAGAAAGTTCAAGACAAAACTGGCAAACCGGCTACAGGGCCAATTGACTCTTGCCAAGATGCACGAGGCGAATAGTCTTCAACATATTCATTGCTTGTGCCAATAAGGCATTGCACTCCTCTAGAGGATAGAAAAATATGCTGGGGTGCACGCAGGAAGAAGAAAGACAAACATTTGGTTTAATACAGCAAAATAGCTTCTCAATGCCTGAATGTCATTGAATGCTTCAAGGATTGTTTTTGAAGCGCAGTCGCGATTCTGCAAAGCCGCAAAACCATATTCATAGACCTCTCCTGCCCTGCATCCTCGATCCGCCTTCTGGCTGCTTGACCTCAACAGTGGCGTCAATGTAACCAACATGCTTTCATCTACCTCGTCAGTCTCTTGTTTTGTACCTCGGCCTGATATATGAGAAATATAGTATGGAGAACATGCTTATACAAAGGGTTTGAAAGGTATAGCTACTATACAATAGGCCTGTGCACATATGTCTCAGAGCGCAATTGGTCGATTCAGGGATGTCTGTTTGGTCGCACCGGAAGGGCGACGTGACAAATGATGAGACAGGTTACAAAAAGCCACATAGTTCTTGCATGTTGCTCTTTACATCGCACCTATCCCAGGTCTTGTTCTCAAGGAGATCTTGCAAAGAGATCTACATCGAGTGATGCGGGCGGCTCGATCCATGAGACCCGGATCCACTTGAGCATTGAGAAGTTCCACATCTAGTGGATGTGATTCAGCGGAACCCTGCAACATCCCGCAGTGTTGTAGTGTTGTTCTCCCCCTGTCAGTCCAAAGTTAGGCCTGAAAAGAACGCCAATTAGAACTTCCGTCACCGAGATTAGCTCAGCTTCCCGATCCTTGAAGTTGAGAAATTGCCCTCAAGGTCTTTTTTAGCCCATACTTACTTAATTAAGTAGGCGCCATATTTCAGTAAGGGAAAACTTGCACGCTCCTAGCTACTTAAGTTCCTACATATGGACGCAGGATCCGATAGGATACGTTTCTTCAAGGAAGCTCACCCCGCCTGAGGGCAGGGTAGATTCCTTGAAGAAACGCTCGCACTAATGATTTGGTTCCTAGATGTTTGGAAAACTTAGTTTATTTACTTTTCGTCTCCGTTTTGAGTCAAAGGGTTTGAGCTCTATGCTTAAGTAAGAGGTGGACAAAAGGTTGGTTGCTTAAGAGTAGGATAATATGAGAGAAGGGAATTTGAAGAAAAGAAAAATTTTGCAGGAAAGGTCAACAAGATTGTAAAGATGCTTATGAGAATGGTAGCCAGGGCTTGCAGCCAATGGTTACAGAAGCCTTCTTGAAAGAAGGAGACAATATCCAGTGTGGATTGGAAGACATGAGACTGGAAGAGATAAAGGAATCCAATGACAACTGGAGATTTTGGATCGTAGTGATCATTGCAATCAACATCATTGTCTTTGCAGTATTGATCTTTGTGACAGGATGTTCAAACACCTTGAGTTAAAACTCCAGAGAAGTAGCGATGAGCTATGGGGTCATAAGACACTGCTATGATAATTGGCAGCATATTGATTGGAGAGCAGATGGTATAGAATACCGGACCATGGAGTTAGAAAGTAGAATTGAAGATCTTGAAAGAGATGCCAGTGAAGTTGAGAACTATGGAGACAAAATGGAAAGATTGCGTAACCATGCCAGGAGAACTCATTGTGGATTGATTCTAATGGGAGGCTTTACTGCACCCTATACACCAAATACTACAACAATCAACGCCTATGATGTGCTACAAGAGTTGAATGCAGGAAACTTCTTAGCAAGAAGGAGCTTGGAAAATATGAAAGCATCAACAGAACAGTTTTGGGGACATAAAGTGATGTTAAAGGCAGCTACAGATGGAGCAACACCATCAGAAGGACCATTGAACAAAATGTTCAAAACAGGGAACAGAGAGATATCGATGAGAGACCAATACATCGCAGAGCAGGCAAGTCAATTGTGTGGTCGATTTGAGGCAAAACTTGGGCAACTCCATGGGAAATACTGGAACCTCCTGAGTAGTGGACAAAACGATGCAGCAGATATGGTAGAGAAAGAGATGGAAAAGTATATGGAATTGCTAGAGTGTGCAGTTATGAGGAGAAACTTTCCAGACAGACAACCAACAGAGATATCAACCTCTAGGAACACAGTTCACAGCAAGAAACACAAGAATGAAATGGAAGAAAATGGACTATGGTGGCAAAGTGAGCTCAAAAAAGCATTTTAGAGTCTCACAGTGCCAGCGCGAACCATTTTGCATTGTGACCATTGTACAGAGACATGACATCATGAGCATCATGGATGTCTACTGAAGCCCTTTTGAGTATCAGACAAAAGGATGTATCAAACCCAAAATACAATCAGCATAGCATTTAGCAAGAGACGGATCCAGAATGCTTCTTCGCCATCTGCAAAAATGCCTCAAGACTGAAACTATATACATCAAGGACTTAGCGCCTGTACCACACTCATTCCGTCTGGCACTCAGTGCAGCACTTGCCATTTCTCCAGGGTACCTCAAGTTGACAGTAAGCACATCACCGCATTCTTTCTTCGCGCTTGTCAGCTCAAGTCGGCCTCTTCTCCATCTGCATTGTAATGAAGTGCACCAAAGTCTGGTCGGCAGCCTGGTGAAGGTGATGTAAAGCCACTAGGTCCCTGTCTAAACAGAAACAACAATTGCTGGGTGAGGGATCAAAAGAACGTAATGAGCATCAGTCAAAAAAATTGACGGCGACGGTGGTCAAAAGAAAAAAGAAAGTATTCCCAGTGAGCAATGAAAGGAAAAAGAGAATAGGGCAGGGAAAGGACAACAGCAGCAGTGCGGCAAGAGACCCCAAACAGTGTGTGTGAGGTCTATAAGCAGAAAGGCCTGCCACGAGATCTGCACCCTCGAGGTTCACCAAGTGCTGCACCTGCCACGAAGTCTGCAAGCGAGCCACACATGTCCGCTTCACTGCACCTGTCACCGAAATCTGAGCTCCTCGACGATCATCACCATGTCCAAAGTGCTGCACCTGCCACGAAAACTGCACTTCAAAGTAAAACAGCTCCGACCCCTTGCACCTGTCACGAAAAGTCGACTTTGGAGCACCAAAACACGAGGTTTCCCTTGTGCCTGCCACGAAAAGTGACCACCACGAACGAAAATGTGGCACCACAACGAGAGCGCAGTCGTTAGAAGCACCCGCCCGGGGCACCCCGACTTTGCGAGCCTGCGCAGTCGAAATGCACTTCGACGATTTCGAGAGGCATGAATGTACTGTAAATAGCAGCGAATTAGCCGCACACGCCCGCGCGCTTCAGCGATCTAAGCATCAGCTGCTTTTCACTTACCGTAAGAACCCCTAGTGTGTCCACACTGTTTGGGGAAAAAGAGAGAACAAAAGGATAGAATGATAGAACTGTTGGACAAGACAAAGGTCGTCCCTATCATCCACAAGAAAACAATGAAACAATATTTGCAACACATAATCAAAAAGACTTAGGCGAGGGCATGCAATAGTTTGTGTGGAGATGCGATGGGTGACTTTTAAGCAATCTGTCGTGTCAGGCACAACGCATTGATTTTTTTGTATTATGTGCTCTTTTTGATCTAGATGCGACGATTGCCGGGCTTCAGTCTGATGCTACAGACTCTTGCAGCATTGGCCTGTGTCGCTTTCACCGTCCGAAGCTGCAACAATGCATCCATGGAAAAGCCATCGGCACGACCGCGCCTTGGGAACTAGATGAGTCAAGAAACATGTTACTCCACCTAATAGCGTCCTAGTATGTTGCCATAAATCATAGTAGATTCTTGTTACTAATTACTAGTAATGGCCTCCAACCTAGTAGAGATGGCCTCCAACCTACTAGCTTATTGTTGCTAGTAGCTTCTTGTTTCTACTTATATACTTAAGTTTGGATGTCGTATTTTGTGAAAAAGAAGAAATGTGTCGCCAGGAACCAACCAACCCGAAGAAGGTCTGGACAAGCTTCTGACACGATGGTACGAGAGGGACTTTGCTTGCGAGAATCTAAGCTCCCCACGGTGTTCCTCCATTGAGGAAGTTTCCAGCGTGCAAGGCTACACCAAGCAAATGCCTGTGGATGAGTCCATTCTTTCCTCGTTTTGCTCTGCCAGTGTGCGTTTTCGTGACATCTGTCCTCATGCGCATCGATGTAAGCAAGCAGTCACACCCTCGAGATACTCCCTTCACATCGTTTGCAATGTGATCGAACTTCTCCTGGGAAAGCATAATGAAGGAATTGGCTTCAGACGTCTTCGCACTCCCAAGTGGCCTGGAAGGAATTCCCGAAGTCCCATACCTTCAAGCGAAGCTGGAAGCGTGGGATGGCGATCAAGGAGAGCATGAAGTCCTGACATCTCAGCTGTCATTCCTTCGAAACCGCTGACTATACTGCACTTGCAGGTGCCTCAGCAGTGTCCCAGGCAGTATTCTCATCGATGACATTCTCCTGGACAGATTGAGAAAGAAAAAGAAACAATTGGGAAAGTAGCAAGTACATTGGCATGCCTCTTGAGCACGTCGCAGCAGCTGCACTTCTTCCAGAGATGGGCAGTTGCCGAGAAGCAGTTCAACCTTTCAGTAGGAACTCCGAAAACTCTTACACCAAACGATGCACAACAGCACTCACCAAATTACACATGGTCACATGGTAGAAGCTGGCGGGCATGTCACCTCGTCTTTCCCCAACCTGCGGATGCACACAAAACAGGAAGCCATATCGATGAGAATTCAATTTGCCTTCCGGAATTCATCTCGCTGATCCATGTCAATACGTCAAATGCGCTGCCTGGCCTCAACCCAACTTGATGCAAGCCCAATACATGGCATGAAAAAGGGAGAGGAGGAACAAGAGCGAGAGAGAGAGAGAGAGATGGCAACCACACGCTCCAGTGACGACAGTGTGCTGAGAATTTGGAGCAATTGGTCCTGATGTTCAACAACTTCAGAAACTAAGACGCGAACAAACGCGCCAACATAATGCAGATTTGCCTCGGTCTTCCATCACAGCAACTCAGTTTTCACATTGCAGCAAAGGTGTGCAGCCTTCGTCGCTGTTCATCCAGAACTCGAATCAATCGTTTGCCAACTTCACCTACAACAGCGACTCAAAACCCTTCCAAACGCAGATTGATATCTTTGATACACTCTGCTAAGTCACAAAAGACAACATATCGAGTGTAAAGCTATACCAGCATAGACCCCAAACAGCTTAGTCGGCAAGAACTGTTGTTGTTGTTGCTGTTGTTGTGGTGAGCGCAAGCCTGGCACAAAGACCGCAGGAGGGCACCAGGAGGACAAGAGCAGGACACAGCGTGGCAAGGGACAGCAGGATGACACCAAGGGGACAAGAGGAGGACACAGGGTTCGCGAGCGTGGACGACAAGAGGACAAGGTCTGGAGACCGGCTGGCAGCCGCGGCCAAGAGGAAGACAAAAGCAGGATAACAAGAAGACAAGAAGAGGACAAAAGGAGGACGGCGGGGCGACAAGGAGAGAAAGAGAAAATAAAGAAGACAACAGGAGTACAAGGTCTGGAGGCCAGGCTGGTGCCGCGGCCAAGCTGCACACCGGAAGAAGGACAAGCAAAGGACAACAGGAGGACAAACGCCCAGGCACGGCGATTACTGGCTCGGCCAGAGACTGTGGCCAGCTTCTTTTTTCCTAAGAAAGAACCTCAATAGTAAACTGCTTGAATAAAAAGAAGGTAAGGGCCGCCTGACCTACCTACAGAAGAAGTTGTGGAAGCCGCACCTGTTGAGGTTGTTAAGGATCCCCATTCTTTGTGCCTAGGTGCCCTTGGGGCATTGACAAGGATTTGTACCAATGGAAAACTTTTTTGGGCCCCCAACTTGCCCTTGAGAACAAACAAAGCCCAGGGCAGCTTTCACCTGCTTATTGAGATTTGCAATATGGTTGCAGCTCCTGCAGCGTATGCCAAAGTGCTGTGGGATGGCTTTGCTTACTGTAAGCTCACAAATGTCTTTGCTGCCCCACTCCTTCCTCTTGACATATCCCTTTCGATCACATCGGTTGAGGCGCTGAAGCCCGCAAGAAGGCCCCCTTTTAAGAGAAAGGCCACGGGCCCACGGGCCCTCCCACACGGGCCCAGCTGGCCAGTCCATGGGCCTCCTTTTAAGGCTGTGAGAGAGGCCCTTACCTACCTTTTTCCTACCTTTTCAGCCTTCCAGTGCTGTACACTCACCACGCACCTCGCTCAGGCTCGCTCTTGCCACGAGGACTCTTGCTCGCTTCGGAAAAAAGCCATTCCAGCTCCTATCACAATAGTCCATAGTAGTCTGTATATCTCTAGACACTATACACTGCACATGCAACAACACAATGCTACCTCACTAGGCAGTCCTCCAGATCAATAGGATAGCCTTCGCCATCAATGGCATCCCACCTGCAAGTGAGCAAATAAAAAGCAGGTATGCATTGTAGCACAAACGACAACGGAAGCACTTCAGCCTCTGAGGACCCTACACTGTGTAGCTCGCGTGGTTTGCACGCAGGTGAATGGGATTCCAAAAGAGTCTTTTCACCTGAACTCCAGGAATTACCTCAGAGCACAAACATCCATTTGCTGTCGCAAATTAGGTGCAAATGAAAAACAATGATTGCAAATCTTCAAAGCGCCTCTGGCTTGCGCATCAAAATCTTGACCTCCTCTGCCTGTTCTGGCGCGATAGACCAATGCATCACCGCAATCTTCACGAAGCTCTTCGACGGCGTGGATTTTTGTGTGTTATTGTCTTTTCTGTTTTTTAGTAGGCGCCTACTTAATTAAGTAAGGCAGAGGTCGCTACTAGCTGCAAGTAAGCTACTACCTAGGACACAGGGTAGCTCGCGCTTCTTCAAGGAAGCTCCCGACGCCGGCGCAGATGGGTCCTTCTCTCGAGTTTTTTGGCGGAAGGAGAGGTTCTCCCGAAGTTCGAGTCTACTCTCTACTCTCATCAGCACGATGGCCTAAATAAATTTTAGGGTCCTGCACATTCCACAGCTTCCATACTCGTTTCATGCTATTCTTGCACCTGCTATTTCTGGTCGACCTGTGCTCAGCAGAGCCTACCTCTGCTTGGCTTTTCGCTTTCCCTTTCTTTCCCTCTCCTTTCTCTCCTTTCCTTGGACACTCGGCTTCAAACAGCTCGCACGCTCTCTCTCTCTCTCTCTCTTGCTCTCCCTCTCTCTCCATAGTAGTACTGGCCTCCAAACCATTGGAGCAGGCGGGGCTTTCTTTCCCTTGCCTGAAGGAAGGTCTGCAATACGAAAAATCCTTTGCAATTTGCAACTAAGGGCAGCACCTTTAACAGGCAGTGCTGTTGTCAGGGAGGTTTCCCCTGCAGAAATACAGAAGCCTAAGGCCTAAGGTGTGGAAACACGCATGAGCCACGCACCTTCGCCAGTTTTTTGTGGCATGCCTTTGCCTGCACAACACAAATCAGATCAAATCACCAAACGCATTGAAAAGCATGCAAAGCACTTGAGTCCCCTTATGGGCTTTGCCCACCTTGAGCTTCACCAACACGTTCAACGGCTGCTTGTGTCTGATCTTCAGATGTGGAGCCAGTCTCTGCAGCTGGCTTTTCTCCTTTGGGTTCTGAAGAATTTATAGTTGCTTCCGCAGGAAGCCCTTGCTGCTTCTCATCAGGTGTTGCTCCTTTGTTTGAAGTCTTTCCTCTTGTGGAGGCAGAGCTTCCTGATGTCCCCTGAACTTCTCTGGGACTTGCAAGTCTTGGGCTGCCAAGTCTAGGACTGAAGCTTCTAGGACTTCTGGAACCCCGACTTGGGCTTGGCTTCAGGCCAGTCCTTGCAGTGCCGGCACCTGATCGTAGAGCTTTAGAATTCACAATCTTGGACTGGGCTTTGCCGTTTTGCTTCCCTTCGAGCTGGTCGCCTCCTGAGTTCAAAAAATGCTTTCCGACTTCAGCGACTTGAAGTATTGGGAAAGGTCAAACCCCCGATCTACCATTCAAAATACATGGACCATGGATATCTCATGTCTAAACACAACTTTTAGACCAAAGCCTTTTACAAAGTATCGCACTCGGGCAAACCAACTCCTGAAGCCACTCGAACATGTCTCCCAGCTGCATCGCAAGTGCATTCACAGCCTGTCGCAGCCCCTTCACATCGGCTGCAGGTTTTCACAAGCCTCATAGATACTTGAGACTGTCGCTGGCTATCCTTCAGGATCGTGGGACTCGAGACTTCCTCCATGTCCTTACCTCTTTTGCCACCTTCCCCTGAATATCCACCCTTTTCAACAGCAAAAGATCTGTACTGACTTCCACTGCCGACAACTCTGTGACTTCTTGCTCCCAAATCAAAGTGATCCTGTTCTTCATGCTTTTCTGGATCTTGCTGCGAAAGCAATGACT